CTCAGGTGTCCAATAGCATCACCTTGGAGATGGAAGTGTATCTCTTCACTTTGATGACAACGGTGTTATTATCAACATTAGTTACTCCCATTGTGATAATTAGTTTTTCATTCGAAGGTACATTAGGTGATGTGTGAATCATCTTATAGAGATAATGGTTGCCCACGAACTTATTGCTCATCAACATCTTTATAATTGAATGGAGCTACTATACTGTTTCAAGTATAATTGCGAATTCAATGTTGAAATCATCATCTAGCAATTGCATCACATTTTTGACATAATAAATTGCAAATCTCAAAAACTAAAGAATGATGTTGCAAGAAGCTTGAATTTCATACTTGAAAAAATTGCTTTTCGCTATACAACGAAATCAAGGACTTTTTGTGTATTATTTTGGTCTATAGACACCCTAGATTTAGTTGAATTTACTAATGTATCAGCACATTGTGCTGAAATAAACATCGTGACATCTTTCTTTGCCAAGAAGGTGCGTTCTTGGATTACAATGAAAATATTAAATGATTACAAATGATGGCAGAATCTCTTTTGGACTTAGTAATATTACTTGTATCATACACTAAATCATTGATTTGTATCATCTTTTTGATGATGGCAACCCGTGGAACAGCGCTCGCATGTTGAAAAGCAAAATAAAACAAGCAAAAGAAAGACAAAAAACATACAGCAAGACCAGATGATTTGATAGTTACCTTCAAGCACTCTCCAATCATGGCATCAGGTGACAAGCCATAAAAATTACAAGGAAGTTGATCTATTGTAAAATGTATCATAGTGGTGTATAAAGTCTTCATTGTTTGTGACTACTTGTTGGTCAATGAAGCAAGTTAGGCGAGTAACGCCTCAATATCAATTTGCAATTTGAACCTGCAATGCTTGCGCTTGAAAGGACTTCTTTTTGTCTATTTGTTTCTCCTTCTTTCTTTATTGCTTACTTGAACTCAATTTTTGTGCAAAAGATGAAGATGTGGCAGCAGGTGGAGCTTGCTTAGCTTTAGCTGATGCACCAACAAAATTTAGTTTGGGCTAGTTTGTTCGCTTATGTTTTTTCCGTTTTGAAACCTTGACAAAACATACTACATCCAAGTGGCGTTTCTTGCCATAAAAATCACAAAGTAATTCCTCTACTGGTAGGTTGCACTCATGAGCTTTGTGATCAAGGTTAACACATTACTTGCAAAAAGTTCTAACCTGAATTGAACTGTGAATCACTTTGATTCCATTAAGTGGGATGCAAAGTTCTATTAGTTGTGCAGGTTGCAAAGTGTTTTATGAACCTTGATTGACTCATCATGCTAGTGTTATACTGTGCATGGCTAGATCTCGACACTCTAAAATATTATACATGTCTAACAAGTTGTATGAATCTTTAAACTTTAGCAAAGATTCGTTGTAGGACTTAAGCATGAACACAAGTGTCACTTCAAGTGCACACAAGTAACGATGAATAGAATCTAGATGTGTTTGTACTCCCTTAGCTTCAGGAGCCGCATGTAAAACATCTTGAGGATTTTCTCCTTTTTTTGGATGAAAATAATCAATTGTAAAATTCTTCTAAAAACTTTTGACTGAGATCTCTAGCTCAAAAATCTTAAACATCTCATCCACTAAATCTTTTGTAAATGACATTTGAATTAGAGGATGAAATTTGAGTTGTAATTGTGTCTAATTGCTACATAATGAGGATCACGGTGATGAGCATTGGTTGTTGATTGTTTTCTATGACATTGTGTGGTTGTATTGGTTGTTGATTGTTTTCTATGACGTTGTGTGGTTGTATTGCAGCGTGCAAAACAATTTTTGAGGTTGTGGTAATTGTTACAGCGTACTACGAGTTGGAAATTTGCTTGGTGTTCAAAAGGTGAATAGCATGTTGTTTCATAGACATCTAACACCTCATATTGCACGTACTTGATTAATTGTTTGAAGTCAAAGTCCAAGTTGTAGCAATTATCATGTTTAAGCTTGAGCTTAGCAATCATCGTTGAGAGTGTAGTTTTGAATTTTGGTAAAGAAATAGTTCATGGTCTTTCATTGTACTTGTCCATCTTGAACAACAAGTTGCTAATGTCCATGTTGTAAATCGATGGATAGTTGTAACCTAGTATGTATACTTAGTGAATGACTGCAAAGTGGCTACAAAATGAGATGTCGTCCACGTTCTTGCACCTAATTGAACACCTTAGTCAGCTTCTGAAGTAAAGTAACGTTATCTTGAATTGAATCTCACAGCAGAAATTTTGCTACAAGATGAGACGGTTAAACCAAGCTGCAATTGCCGTCGGAAAAATCTTGAATCTAACAAAATTAGAGTGAATGATTGTGGATCACTCCTCAATTGCATACAATAAAAACTGTCTAGATTAATATTTCTGGAATCAAGAATTCTGTATTATTTAGGTAACATATTTATAAAAAGAGAGTCAATAAATAATTCTTTGTTTGCGTCATTTGTAACATTTGCGAGTCGTGGCGTTAATCTAAATAGTAGCAACTCACAACCACAACCTCAGCCTGAACCACAACACAATGGCTTCAAAGAGATCTATCAATACGAACATGACCAACGAGGTTCGGATAGTTGTTTGTGAGCACAAGAAGAAGCATACATCGCTCACGCAAGCACACTTGATTGCAAAGTTGCTTATGTTTCCACTCAGAAGTCAACTGTGCATGAACTCTCAATCAATATAGTGCCGAAAGATAAAATGGAGATCTATAATCACAAATCAAAAAAGCATTTTTGTGAAGGCAATTGAAGCATTGTAGTGTGCAAATTTGTTGCAACAGTTCTAGATGTAGCAAGACATTTTTGACATAATCAAAGAGAAGATCAACATTATGAGTTCTAGCAAGCTCGATCAGAAGCCAATGTTGGAGTATTTCTCCAAGGTTTAGCTAGCCAAATGTAGATCAGAAGCCAATGTTGGAGTATTTCTCCAAGGTTTAACTAGCCAAATGTAGAAAGTTTATGTCAAATCTATGTTTTCCATAATGGTTATCAATGTAAAAAATATTTGGAAACTTATGTGGAGTTATTCATTTAGATGGTATTAATTTAGACATGTTCAATTGTATAAGATGGATTTCTTAATGGAATAGAAGTACTTTCATAGCCACAAGACACAGTGAAGCATGAACATGCTAGCTGCTACGGAATTGCAAAGCTCTCGTAAAAAATGGCAGCCAAAACTTGAGTAGTTTCTGCTAAAGTATACTGAACCAAGATTTTCACAAATACAAGCAATACCTTTATATTTTGACAAGAGCTTCACCGGCTTTTCAAAGCTTTCCTTGAATGTCGTGAAAATTTCGTAGATATTTTCACCACATGATTCGAAGATTCGGCTTGAATTTCTTCACCCTGTGCTAAGGAAATGTTTTCTATGAAACGAGCTCGAGAAAGAATTGCAAACAAGAAAACAAAATCAACAAACTTTCTTCACTATTCCAACAAGAAATAGCAAAACAATAGTTTTTTTTAGAATGAATTAGATTGAATGTAAAAGCACAAAGACCGCTGGATTGGACTTGCTATATGAATTGCGAGCGGCTATGAATCCATCCTCTCCACCTCACACATGATTCTAGAAAAATTAACTATTTCGAGGCCGATAATCTCAAAACTGTTCCGTGTCATAAGCATTTGATGGAAGGCCCAAAGACTAGCCTAGAAGAACTCTATAAGATCCGTATCATAAGCATTTGATACAAGGCCAAAAAACTAGCCTAGAAGAACTGAACAAGATCGCTACACTAATTGTTCTCACACTAGAGCCACTAGCATCAGTTGGACAACCTAAAATGATCCTGGAATTAGTAAAACCTGGCTTATATCACTAGGACCCAGGGACATGCTACGTAGTCAATGCACTAATGCATGACACATTAAAAAATCAATTTCTTCCTATTTATAGTAAAAAAACTTACTATCTCTTACATTGTGGCCATAGTATTTATAGATGGTTGTAATTTTCATGCAAAATAATCTTCATTAACTTTATACTCATTTTTTCCTGCTCCGGTAACAATGAAGCTTTACATTGGTCGCACTCCCCCCTATAAGATACTTAATATCTCACAGCCCACATTCATCATTGTTGTAAGTTTTCATTTCATCTTTGATCCTAAGAAAGGAAGTTTCAGAGTTATCGACATATTCAGAAAGCGCACAGCCGTCTCCTACTTTAATTCCATGCGAGTGTTTTGGCCTTATTTTCAGCTTCATTAGCACTGTCACTGTCCTTACTTCTCCTTCATCAAAATAAGTCAAACTAACTTCAAACCATAATTAAGGTATCTAACCACTGACATAGCCTGAGTGATACCACGAGGGCTACCACGGATCTCGTCAGCCCCTTCAACAATTATTCCTAAGGAGAACCATGACACCGGATATTTCGATCCAGTCAATGAGAACCTGTACTATTGAAAAGCACTTACGTACAAAGTAAGTCAATGTATGCAGCTTCAACACGGAATTAGTTCGAAAGTGGGAGAATTCGCGATGTAGCAGCTGTGAAAGAAAAGAAGTTGACAGGTCTTAGCAAGGAGATGGAAAAAAAAAAATATCGGTGGGTCTTGACAAGTAGGTCATTCGAACAGTAAGCGACTTGAATGGTGACACTAGCCATCAGTCCTAGGGGCGGCACGCATGTCAGAATCAACAGTCGAAACTTGTAATCACTCAATTGACGGCAAAAAATGTAACTAAAACAATGCTGGACCAGAGACCATCACACACTTACGGCTACCAGTCAACAAACACGGCTGCGTCAGCAATGTACTTAGGTGAAAGTTTCCAGCCCGAATGGCGATAGATAGAGCTGCAGTTTGCAGAAGAAAACAGCGACTATCTGATTCTGTGGATGGAAGGCAAGCTTTGGGCTTCCTGCCATTACCTCTGTGGGATATAGGCACGCAGCTATACTTAAACCCTTATATGCTCATGTAAAAAGGTACTCTTAACTGTAAATCTCATTTCGCAGAGCCCCAGGTTGGAATATAAGCAAAGTGTTTGGTGTCGGGGAAAAAAACCGGATACCTACTCACATAAAATTGCTTTTGATGGCTACTGGAGGAAAAATGATCAAAATCATATTATTCAACACTGCCATTTCCAGGTCTTGGAGTAAGATGGAAACTACGACAAAGATGTCACGTGTGAATTGTCAAGTATCTGTACTTCGTTACTACTTCGAAGGCAGAGGAAACGATAGAAATGGGTTTATATACACTCCAGCCTTTACAGTCCCACTGGAGAGACACAACTTAAACAGGGCGTTTTGTAATCAAATTAACCTTGCTTGACCAGCTCCAGTGCGACTTCAAGATTTCTTCGCAATCCACATCGTACAAGAGTTGTTGTTGTTGTACCCTCTCCTGAATCTAAATGTTGCATGACACTGCGTAAGACCTCTGTCTGAAATTGCGTACAGTTCACTGCCTATCCAACGTCTGCCATCTTTCCCGAGTCGTGGCTACTTGGATTTTCTACAGTCATGGCACTTGGCCGGCTCCAAAAGCTTTCACAATGCTGCTCACTCTTTCGGCAAATGCAGGGGACGTGATCCTTTTCCCCGGAACATGAAATGGATTAGAAGCAGCATCGACATAGGCTGCATGAAAACGTCTGAAAAACTGCCACACACGACAATTGTGTCAGTTATCACTAGGCAGACTGAAGGACTGTATGAAACATGTAAGTGCAACAATCAAATAACTCGCTGGCGGGAAAGAAACCTTGGAGGTCTGTGGAGCTAATATGTATGGCTGAAATATATTTTGTCACAGATCTCTGAAACTACTAGTCTCCAAGAGGTTTGAACCTGACTGTTCCTTACAGTATCAAATAAAAACTCAATCCACATTTCCACAAATGGAGTTGCAAACGCACGTCCTTTCTCACGATGTACAAAAAGAAACAAGGCGGAACGCAGCCAAGAATAAATAACGCTTACATTCCTGACATCGGCGTCCCGCAGGTCCTGATCGGTCGTTACCAGAATAAATTTTATTTTAGTGTTGCTCAGGTAACCAAACCTGCAAAAATGATGAGCATTTGGAACTAGGATTCAATGAGGAGCCAAATCCACCTACAACCTGGCATTTCAAGGCTACAAGACGCTCTACGGTTGCTGAAGTTAAGAACTTACACGAACTTCCTATCTATGAACATGTAGGAAAAAAACTTAGTTTCAACTAGGGGATAAAACTTGAAACCTTCTCACCATTACAAAACAGTAAAAGAGAAAACTCATCACGGAACCCTAGCGCCTCCAGAACAGAGCGCTGAATAGGTTGATCTGAATAAACAACTAAAGATTGCAAGGTTTATTCAGATCAACCTTGTTTCATAAAGTTTATTCAGATCAACTAAACAAGGAATAAACTTCAACTCACACCACATACACTTTGTAGTCTTCAGTCGGGTACAGGAGTCCAAGGAACGTCTCGTTCAAGCTGACACCTAGTTTTTTAGGGTTACTAACTGCAATGGAAAGGGAAATGAAAACAAAGTTTAGCCAACGAAGGAACCTGATTGCACACGATTTAGATTATAAGCATGTGTGTGCTCATATCCTTCCGGTTGAGTATGTCCCAACACTCTCCTCCGGCAAAAATTATGCTGGTGACTGAACAAACTCAAGCACGAATATATTGTAGATCAAAGAATTCATTCCTCACTGATCCCCCTGATCCAATGGATAATCTTACAAGAAGTTCATGCCATCTCGTGAGAAAGCCCATTTCGAGCATATCTCAAATGCCACGGTCAAAAGGGGCATAGCGTTACCTTTCTCATCAATAACATCCAAAGAACAGTGAACAATATAGTGGAACTTCAAAGCATCATCTCCATTCGTGAAGCTTTGCAGATAGAGAGGATTGTTCTGGAAAATTATCAAGCATCAGACACGTCTACGAGAATCTCCAAAATAACGATAGATTTCTTATCTAGAAAAGTGCAATGAAACAAATCAATAATTATATGGCATAGGAAATCACTGGAAAGTGCATGCCATCTGAAATTCGGAGGTACCCGAAATATCAACAACCTACTTCAGCTATTGGCCGATAGATCCAGGGAAATCAACAATAAGCCGAGAAAGATTTATTAAATAATGCTAAATTGGTACCATTACAAGCACTGAATCGTGCGTCGACTACAAGCAACAAAGAGAATGATCTGAAAGCAAAATAACTTCAAGTACAAATTTTGCGATTCAAGCTTACTCTTGCAATTCAGACTAAGATACAGCGTAGCCCGTGCAATACAAGGAAAACAAACGTACCTGCTGTCCTACAACAGCCACACACACAATCATGCTTGCTCTCCGCCCTCGACCTCCACAAAACTCTACAAAGGTAAACGAGCCTTGGCGTGGCCTTCGCCGACGCCAAGACAGCACAATGTTCCTCAAATGACAACAACAGTGATAATCCGCTGCTCCCCACTTCGTAATCACAGATGGTCATTACATGACAAGCCACACAGAAATGCCGTAATACTCCATCTTGCGCTTCTCTTCTCTTCTCCCTTTGCTTCGCGCTATCTTGCGAATCGAAGTATGCTCGATCATGAACTCGAAAGATACAGTATCTCCTCCAAGTGGTAAAATATATCTTCGTAAATGGACTTTTAATTTTGTTTACTAAAAAAAATCGACACTGCCTCATCAATCGTCACATGGAGGAAAACTAATCTTTAACACTGGGGCTACTCCACAAATAGTCACACTCAAAAGTATATATTTTATAAAAGTAATAAAGTAAGAAAAAAAAGGATTTTTTATAAAAAAAAAGTAAGATTATATAGTCATAATATTTCCAAAAAAATCAGCAATCAAGGTTATTTACTTCAACATGTCATAAATTGTCAATTGCCTCAAGTTTTGAAGTCTCTTGGGTTTGGACTTCAAAGTGAAATCCAGTAAGTTACTCTGTATACATTCAAACAACTATGTAACATGAAGTGTTTACTCATCCAAGGATAGCAACTAATACTCTATATCAAAAACTTGCTTATGAGGTGATTTGAATCCCTTAAATACAATTTTGTTTACTAAATACAAACCTAAATCCTTACAATTAGTCTTACTCCTACCGATCGCTCTTCAAACTCTTCCAAAATTGCAGCTGCAAATACTTCATTGTTGACATAAACAAATTCTTCAATTTCTTCTGGCTCAACAAAAATATTTAAAGCTAAAATAGCTTGTGCAGACTAACTCGTAGCATCGAGCAAGTGAGTTGGAAATCCCTACATAACTCCAGAATCATCATGTGTTAATCTATGTCTTTAAGTTTTTAAATAAGGTTTCATCTTCTAATCAACTTCATAAAAGTCAATAAGATACTTGAAATACAGATATTTGAACCTCTTCTTCAATGCTGCTATTATGTCCATGTTGATTTCTCCTTGTGAAGTTCAGAATAAAGAAGAAAATCCTAACATTATTGTGTTCAAAAATTCCAAATTTGATTTTCACCTTTGAAAAAAACATCTTATTGAATATATTATAACATTTTTTAATGTATAGCCAAGTTTTCAATTGATTGAGTAATGAAAAAAATTATTGTTAATCTTCTTTACATGCACATTATTTTGGTATTCTAATCAATGTAAAAAAAAATTGTGAGTTTTTATCTCGTTGACACACATGATAGTGAAAATCTGATCATTGAAAAAAAATTCATTATAGTTGTTGATATATTCTGCTCTAGTATTGGAATTTTATATATGGATAATAGAAAAAAATAAACAATGTTATCTCATCCATATTGTATATGTTTGTAAGATCAAATTAGACTATAATTGTGTAGAGTTTGTTCAAAACTATCACACTTTCATGATCAAATTTGTTGATTTCATTCTACTCTCCGTGAAACATCATTTTTTGCAATCCTTGACGCATGTTGAATCAACTTAGCCATTGCCAAAAGGTTCTTTATTTAGTTTCTTTTATAATGATTGCAACTTGAATCAATACTTTTTGATTTAGCAATGACTAGAGAGATGTAAAAATAAGAAAATTGTTTGATGCATATTAATAATTCATATATAAAGCATATTCTTAAGTTTAATTAACGATTTATAGATTATCAAAACATCTTTTCTTTAGCTTCATCGTACTTAACGTCAAATGAAGTAAAAAATTGCTCTTATTGGTTTCAAATTTGTCTAATAAAATTTTCACTTATATTGCAATCAAGCGTTAGAAGTCTTTATTTAAGAGCATTTGTACCTCTTAGTTTTTCAATTGAGTCAATACTAATTCAGTTTTTTCTACATTACATTTTTTCTATAATCTTTCTGTTCTTGAAGCAATTTTTGTTCAATTTCTTCAACAATGTATGTTTGTGTAACAATGCAACTTTGAAAAGTTTTTTTCACATTGCATTTTTTTTTGCCAGTGTAGCTTTGACAATGCAAGATTTTAATCAATGCAATTTTAACAATGCCAAATTTTTGTACAATGCAATTTAATATTAACATTAATTGCAAGTACTTCTTGAAGCATCAACTATTAGATTTTTTAGACAGTGTAGCTTCTATATAATGTTCAGATTTCATGTTGTATAGCATTAATTTTTTGGATAAATTTGGCTAAGTACACACATTTTTTAAGATTTAAGTTTTGTATTAAAGCGCTACATTACGGTAGAATAGTGTAATGTTTATTTCAAATAAAATTATAAACAGTCCAATAATTATAGAATAATGCAAATGATACAATTTTGTTTAAGATATATTTCTTAAATAACAATGTAAACATGATTCTAAAATCTACAAAACCTAATTAAAAAATTTATATCTTATAAATTTATGAGTAAAATCTATTTATTCACAACAATTATAAAATTTACATTCAAAATCTTACATAGTACCAAAATTGTATATAACTTCAAAATTATACTAACAAAGTGTTTTATATGAACAAAATACATGATGTTCAAGAAATTTCAATTATTATAATGATTTTTTGTGAAAAATTTGACTCAAATAGATCTTAAAATTAAAAAAATTAATATAATGTGATCAATAGAAGATTCTTGTTGGCTCATGTTTGTATAACTATGTGCTGCAAAAAACATAAATTCTTAAAATACATTATACAATTCACATTATATAGATATTTGATTGTTTTATGATGTGTATAATTTTTTGCAATTGTTAATATAGAAACCACGCAAAAGCAATCAAATCCAATATGGTGAAAAGTGATGATGTGAAATTGCATCACAATAAAAAATACAACTATCTTTAAGATGAAAGCAATTTCATCATATAAAAATCGTCAGTTTCATCGTTGTACAAATTGAAGATGTTGTTCATTGCACAAAAGATACAAATGATTAAATGAAGATAATCTTTGCACAACATATACAAAAAGATTGAGACAAATATTACAATCTAATCGGTTACACTATGCATGTAAAAAATAGTTCACTTAAAGATGAAATACAAATTACAAAGACAATAAAACCTATAATTGTTATACTTTTACTTATATAGATATTTCAACAAAAAAAAAAGTTATAAATTTTCACTTTCATCATTCATACATCTTTAATAGAATAAAGACATGGCAGATAGACTGTGCAAGCACAAGAGTTGATTATGTGTCATTGTTTACTAAAAAATTTAATTTCTACGTACCAAACTCACAATTTGATAATGTATCACTATTTACTAACACATTTAATTTTAAATTGATCATGTGTTGTTGTTTACTAACATGATTATTTTTTATCGACCAAACACACAAATAGATGATGTATCGATGCATACTAACACATTTATTTTGTACCTTTCAAACAGACATATTGTAATTTTATCAAACACACAAAGCAATGATGGATTGATGCATTTCAATTATTATTATTTTCCTTTCAAACAAATAGATTGCAAACGTGAGGGCTAAAAATAAGCACTATAAATTCAATTGATACATTTTTTTCTCAATGATCAAATCACTTAACTAAGTCAATCACAAATAGCATGAGAATATTTGCCACGTTGAGATTGTTAGCAATAAAAGTTGTACTGTAGATATTTTTTTTAATTCAAAACATCTCATCTCAAGATTCATGAATAATTTTCATCAATGTTAATCCAAATTTTCTTGTATTTTTTGAAATACAAATGTTTTTATTATTTTAAGATAATTAAAAAACCTCTACTATGTATATTTCAATCATATGTAACATTACATTTTTAAAAATATTAATTCAAAAAAGTATACATATATATATATATATATATATATATCTATCTTTTCAACGAGCACAAGGAGATAAAATTAATTACTATATGCCAATTCACTCTTAGTAGAATGATCACATGGCATATATATTTAACAAACAAAAAAATTGTTCATACATGTCTTTCAACTAAAACATTAACACTCAGCATATTTGTTAAGTAAAAATCAAATGTGTTGCTTTCAGTTCACATACTAAGTCCCTATCTAACAAATATATTAATACTAATATATTGTTATTGATTACTCAATCAAGCAAACGATTTATAATATGACAATTATACACAATTTACATTATAAAACAACTCAATTTTTATCTTTATTAATCTCTAAAGATGATAACAAATATTTTGACTTTAATATGAAACATCTTCATTACACATACATTCATATTTTTGAACTATCCAGTCTATATTAGTTGAAACTTTAGTTTCTTTTAAATTTGATTCATATCTTAACTTAATTTTTCTCAATACATTAATACATTTAAAAAAATATTATTTTTTCAATCTCAAATCATAAGATGTGCTGTCATGATTGATAAAAGGAATGATGTTAGTTGATTCATATATTATTTTCATTGAATCACATTATTTTGCAACTGTGATACATAATTGCCAATTAATATGAAGTCAAGTAAGACAATAGCATATATTTAACAAAATCAACATATATTTTTTTATTGCAAAGATGTTTATTTTCATATGTTAAACATAAATGTTCATTGCAAATCTATCATAATCAATATTTGTTTACTATATAATTAGAATAAAGTGTGGTGAATTAACATATACGTTGGAAACCTAATGTATTTCATGTGTCACAGTTGCATAGATATGTAGTACAATGATTTTGATTTAAGCAATAAGAGACAGAAAAATATTTTACTCTTAGTGTTTTTATAATGTGAATGCATGTTGTATATGTTCTACACTCTTATTAGTTTTTACCATTTGAACAATATTTTGAAAATGATAAGATATTTCTATTGCTAGCTTTGTTTAGAAAATTTTCATTTTTTTTCAAAAACAAACAAATGAACAAAATATCTCTATCAGTGAATTAGACTCAATTTTACCTAAATCAAGATTTAAAAAATGTGTATCAAGGTATAGTTGAACAAGTTGTGGAATTGTTTTCATTTTATTGATCAGTTTGATATGAATCGTATTTTTAATTTTTAAAAAATAAATCACAATCAATTCATATGTTACCAAAAAATTTGAAAATTCATATACAAGATAAATGATGACATCTTTACATTTCTCTATGCAAGGAGAAGAAATTGTAAAAACCCAATTAAGTTGATTTT